GACTGAGGATTGAAATAGTAAATTATTCCTAGCAGACTGAATGGGCAATAAGACTGCCATCCAGTTCTCCTCATAAAATAAAGCAATAGATAAATAAAGGAGAGCTAACTCACTTAACCCGCGTGGCTCTGTGCTCTGCTAATTATTAACCCAGGCACAGGAGAGGGGTTCACCCAGAGTGTAGTTAAATCATTTTTAATAGAGGTAAACAGTGGTCATGTGGATGAGTAGCACTCAAGAAAGTTTTTAATCAGCAACGTTTAGGAATCACCCAGCCTAATTGCTATAACTTATTAATAATAATAAGTAATCTAGTCTTTTTATGGCTCCTGTCTCTGGAGGACTCAGTGCATTAAAGATCTCTGGGGTGTGAATCCGTAGCTGTGGGGGAGGAAGGCAAGTACCCTTGACACTCATTCCTAATGGAAGAAACTGGACATTGAGGCTAGGAAAGACAAATATGAGTTCCTTTTTATTTTCTTCTTCCCTCATCTGAGTCACCAACTTATACATGGCCTTTCATCTATCTATAGGACCAGAATGGCTGCAGGCAGTGGGGGTAGGGCTGGAGAACAGGCTTTCTTTGTTCACGTGAATCACTGGGGTTGAGGGAAGTGAGTGTGAGTAGAGCTTTGTCTCAAGGAGTTGATTTCTTCTGCACAAGTGTCCCTGGTGTCCCTTGGCCTCCATCTAACTATGGCTGGGTAGGCGCTGGCACCTCCCAGCTCTGTGTTTCTGTGATTTCCCACTTTCCTGGGAAAGCAGAAAGGATGGCACTGAGTCTTACTCTTAGAGTGGGTCTTCACAGCAGCCAGTGGGAGAATGTTGGTGTAAATTGTTTAATTTAACCTGCCCACTACTGAGGTGTGGGTGTTGGAATATCCCCAGGTCATCAGTAAGGAACTTCAAGTTCAAAGCGCTTAAGTGATCGACTCCCAGATGACTCCTAGTGATTGGTTAGCCTGAAGGTGAATATCACACTCCAGTTTGAGGACCTTTGAATTTTATGAGTGACTAGTTCCTATGGTTTGGGAGTTGGGGGTGATGGATGAACACCAGCGTACATGAGGATAAGAGTATTTCTGTGGCTAATATCTTCTGAAGTCCAGAATTCTGGGAGGAGGTAAAATGTAGCCAAACAGTACAGGATTGATTTACCTTCTTCTCACTTATTTTTTATTCTTCTGTCCATAAATCATTTGAGCCTGAGCCTGGATGGCTGCTTCAGTCTGGAAAGGTGAAATTTTGAAGAAGGTACCCAAGCCATTATTATACAGACCAAAAAGCTAACTAATGCTAAGAATGGAATGATTTATGCCACAGACTACAAAAGACATAAATTTAGAGTGTAAATTACAAGATAACTCATGTGCAAAATTGTTGCAATATTTATACTAGTGTTTATTAAAATTTACATTTGAATAAAAGGTGCAAAATGTAAATGAAGCCGAAAAACTTTTTTTTTTTTATCTAAAATAGCTTATATGAAAATCAAGAGACTTTCTTGGAGTAGAAGACATGAATAGTACTCTATGCAGATTTATTTTCTAAAGCATGAAATATACAGTTAAATTGGAAGGAATCAGGTCACTAAATCCCTGCCTGAGGTTCCTCTCTCCCTGCACACTGATACTTTCCAGTGATTCACATCAGTTCTGAATTTCGAAGGAAGTGTCCCTGTCAAAAGCCATGGAGAGAAGGTTGAGGATCCTGGACGAGGATCCTCGACATCCGTCGAGACTGGATCCGTATTTGAAAGACTAATCTCATTTCACTGATGTTTTCAAGGTTGGAAATTTTTGTCTGTATTCATTAGAGGAGAATAATAAATCTCTAATTTGTGCTTTGCTAATAATAGAGATGAGCTTTTGTGCTTCATTAAGGTTAAATGAATCTCATGTGGTCCTCACTAAGTCTTTAATGCCATGTGTCAGTGATCTTGGGAAAAATATCCTACTTCTGTGGGACTCAGTTTCCTCATCTGTAAAATGAGGGGGTTGGACCAGATGAGTGCTAAGACAAACCAGTCCTTTTTCCTTCCTTCCCGTGTGGGAGTGTACCTGCCAGGCAGTTAGGACCCACAGAGATGATTAAAACACGTAACTCTTGTCCTCAGGAGCTCCTGGTCTATATAAATAACTAGCTATAATATGAGCTATAATTGCAATGTGTACAAATTATTCTAGGGGCACACAGGTGGAAACAGTGACTTCCTTCTCTGTGGGGATAGGCTCTGAGAAACTCAACGGTGCCTGTGACATTTGAAGGCTGAGGAGGAGGAGGGCTCCTCCAGGTGTGCAGGCTGGTCAGAGGGTGGGTGGTTCTCAAGGCATGTTTGGGGCAGCAAGTGCATGTGACAGGTGTAGTTAGGAAGCTGCATGTGGTCCTTTTCAGAGTCTCCGGACAGTGTCGAGGCATGGGGGAGAGTGCCATCCACACAGAATCTGTACCGATGATGAATGACTGAGGCTAGAAAGTAATCCACAGCATGTATAGCTTAGGGCAGAGTTGGAGTTGTCTTTTAATGGGACCACTATGTCCATTAACATCCCAGTTAGCTTTCGTGAATGTTAGGGAGAGGGTGGTGTTTTAGCCTACTCCCTGGGCATTGTGAGCCTGCCACTGGTCATACCTGTGCCATAGCCTGGATGTGCCCTTGGGAGCATATATACTATAGTATACTATATATACTATAGTATATAAATGACACCCCTCGTGAGGGTCACATCTGTGAGTGGCATGAAGCTGCTCCCATGGGGATTCTGCCCTTGTGGTCTGTTTAATCCACCAGGTGCATGTTCCATCTCTGAAAGGTGCATATGACCTTCTAGGAGCTGCTGATGTAGCTGACAACTGGCAGCAAATTTGAGGTTGATGATATAGCCCTTAGTTTTTTTTTTTAATTTTAAAAAAAAATTTTTTTTTTATTTATTTATGATAGTCGCAGAGAGAGAGAGAGAGGCAGAGACACAGGCAGAGGGAGAAGCAGGCTCCATGCACCGGAAGCCCGATGTGGGATTTGATCCCGGGTCTCCAGGACCGCGCCCTGGGCCAAAGGCAGGCGCCAAACCGTTGTGCCACCCAGGGATCCCTAGCCCTTAGTTTTTAATATGAAAGTAGAGTCTTGAAATTCAGATTATAGATGAAAAGCATGACCATTGTTAAAAAATTCAACTAATACAGAAATGCTTGCATAAAGATGTAAAAAAAGTGACCCCAGATTCCATCACCTGAAGACAAACATTTCCGGGGCAGAGCTATACACATGCATACTCACATGTAAGTGGGTTCAGGGTACATGTGCCATGTTGCTGTCTGATTTTTTTTTTCATTCAGAAGTAATCAAAGTCTTTCAACAACATCTGAAATGGCTGTACCATAATCCATTGCATGGGATACATTGTTTGTGGTGGATTCCCTATAGCCCAATAGGCAATCTCCATTATTTTGTCATTATACACAATGCTGTGATGAACATTCTTATAGACTTATTTTGTACTTTTGCTTATTTCATTAGATTAAATTTCTGGAAGTGGTACTCATAGATCAGGGAGTGTATATTTCACATTTCCTTACATATTGTCAAGCTATCTTCCAGAAGTTTTCTAGCTATCTACAGCCCCATTATTAGGGCAGGAGCCGGCTCATGTCTGGGTGGTGCTGTTTGTGTTCCCACCAGCACTGTCTTGCATCTTTAAGTTACCGAGTGAGAAATATGAGCAGATGAGTACTTTTGGGGTGGTCGGGAGGCAGCAGAAGCAGAACAAGTCAGAATGCTCATGAGAGATGTCAAAAAGGACCTGGTGTATGCACATCTGTTTACGAGAAGATATGTTACAAAGATACTCATCACAATTCCTAATTGTCAAACACTGAAAACAGTCCAAATGTCCATCAACATTACAAGGGGAAAATAAATTAGGATATAATCACACAGTGGAGTACTATATAGCAAAGAGAATGAATGATCTACTGCTGCATGCTACGTGGAGCATGGGTGACTCCCACAGTCACTATGGAGCAAAAAATGGTAAACAGAAAAGATATATACCAAGTGAGTCCATTTATATAAAGTTTTAAAACAGGAAAAAGTGAATGGAAGGTGTTAGGAGTCAAGATTACCCTTTGAGAGGGATATTAGTGACTCCTTGTTCATTTATGCCTTTTGCTAGAGGCATGTTTCTCAGTGCCAGACAGAGTGCTTGGCATCTGGCCTTTCAAATATTTGTTGAAATAAAAATCAATATTTTTTCACCTTTTGACAAACTTTGACCTAGGATTGGTGTGACGGCACAGTGTTAGTAGTTGTGAGTTATGATATGGAGAATTCATACAAATGACTTTCTTCTGTGATTTAAATATGAAACCTTAGCGTATTCATAGACCCCCTCCTCTGCTTATTCTCTTGTGTGGTATTGTTGCTTCTGTGTTATTTATAAACCAGTCAGACACTTCGTGGTGGGTGAGGAGACAGGTTTTAGAATCAGACATTTGGGTTCAATGCCAAGCCCATTGCTTGCTTCTCTGAGGCCTTGGATGAGTTACCTAACTTTCTCCAATCTCACTTCCCTTAGTTTGTTTAGTAAGGATGAGAATACAATCTGCTCTCTAGGGTCATTGTGAAAAATAATAATATTAATATTAATAATAACTAACAAATTATGTTTGCTACGTGCTGGACACTGATCTAAGCTCTTAAAACATAGGACCTAATTTGTTTGATCTTTCCAATACTCCTATCTATTTGTGGTTTAGGAAATGCAAGCCACAGTGTTACTAAGTGTTGAGCCAGGATTTAAATCCAGGAGTTTCATTCCAGAGCCTGAGCTCTTAACCACTTCCTCCGAGTTAAAGGAAATATTATACAAAGAGCGCTCAGCAAAGTCAGCATATGTTAGCTGTGATTATCATCATTGTCATTTTCAGTGACATCATTATTAATAATTTTTTTTCTCCTCTCTCTCCTGCTCTCCTCCCTTGTTTCTCCATCCGCCTGGCAGATGTGTTACAGCAAGGTAAGTTCACCGTCTCCTGCCTGCTTCTTCATTGGCTGGGCTCTTTTGGAAACAAGGGTGTGGTCTGTGTGCAGAGGGTTATGGAGCTTTGCATTCTCTGTGATCTTATCATGGGGGCTTTAGGAGACACCACGGGGCTTTAGGGACACCACCTAAGGTGGCCTAAAGTGCCATCGGGCTCTCTGGGCCTCTCTGGGCCTCTGGGGCCCAGACTCTGCCTGTGGACCATGCTTGGAGGTAGGGTGGGGGCTGGGCAGTTTGGGCAGGCACACTGGGGAGAGTCATTGCTGGGTCCCCATCAGGGAAAAGGTATCCTTGGGACTTGTGGGACTGGTGGGGAGCAGGTGTCTCTGGGATGAGGGTTCAGGTAGAAGGTCCCTGTCCCTCTGGGCTTCTGTATCAGGGCCAGCTGCTGCTTGGGCAGAGCTCCATATGCTGGCTCCATGTGGGGATTTCTTTTCTTTGCCAAATGCATCACTGTCCTGAGGGGAGTTGTAGACACGACCATGGCATGACCCCTTCAACCCAGGTGTCCCTGGCAACCCCTCCAGCTGGGCCTGTGACAGAGATGGAGCCCGGCGAGCATGTGTAGTGTCTAACCTGTCTTGCCAGCCAAAGTAATGCATTCTGGGGAACTGGAGATGGAAAGTCTAACTGCGTCTCCTGGCATGCATTATAGTCCTCACCAAGGATGCACAACTAGCTCTCGTGCTCTGGGATCCAGAGGGAGACTCTTAGGCTTGGCCTTGTTGAACCTCCCAGACACACATTAAAGGGATGCCGCCTCTCTCTCTCTCTCTCTCTCTCTCTCTCTCTCTCTCTTTTAAATCACAGTCTGGAACCACTGGGTACGATCGGCAGGGCATAACTGTATTCGCGAGCTGGGAAATACATTTGTGGCACACGTTTGCTGTGTCTTTCATGAATCCAAGGATGGCTTAGAATAAAAGACACCGGTTTAAAAATATATCTAGGCATCCCATAAATAGCTTCTGAATAATCTTACAGGCTTGATATTTTCACAACGATTATTTCAGCCCAAACATGCAGTGTGTGTTATGGAGAATGTCTGCTTGCTCTGATAGAAGCGCAGTTGTGGGTAACAATGAGGGGACTGTTGTGTTTGTCTTTTAAGAGTCTGGAGTCATAGACCTACTTTTATAAATAATTCATAAATCCCAACAAGCTATAAGTAATAAGTTCCATTTGGCTAGAGACTAAGAGATGAGCAAAATTGAAAAGGTGCCGTGACTGTTGATGTAGTGAAAGCCCTGCTGCCAGGGCCCCTTGCTGCAGTGTGTTTTCTTCCTTGACAAATTGGGGGTTCATCGAGATGCTCTGGGAGGAAAAGAGGCTTTTTCTTTTCTTTTTTTTTTTTTTTTTTTGCATGAGCTAGAATACAAGTGCCACCCAGCTCTGAATTACATTCTCTTTTTGTGACACAAAACACGCTGGAGTTTGGGAAGTCTTCCTGGAGCATGAGTGCTGAGGCACTGGGAGAATGGGGAGAGAAAAGGCTTGTAGCAGAACTGGCTTTTCTCCCAACAACCAGGAGCATTCACCGTTGTCATGGTTGGTATAAAAAAAATGGCTTATTAGGCTACCTATGTCAAGTTTGCCTCCTTTTATTATCAGTCATGCCACTTGATTGATAGGGTTGCCTGTCAGTTGCAATGATATGCAGAGCAGAAGTTATAATCATCTGCAAATCACTGGCTATCAGGACTTGATAGCATCTTCCAGAGACGGAAGCTGCTAGCTGCCCGTTGCCCCGTGTAAGATATTAGTGGGATTTCAAATGAAGAGAACTGAACTTGTTTTTGTGAATTATTTATGTGGCTCTGGCCTTCTAGGACCATTTCATATGGAGGCACATTATCTGAAACAGTAGCAGGGAACCCGTCAGCTCGTGCCCCCTCCTTCCCTTTGCTTCTGGTCATTCTGCCAAGGAAATTAATGCTCGGTAACACGCGACAGTTTAAATGTGTTGGTGATGGTCACATCAGACCAAGACAAAAGGTTCTGTGTCTTACAGATAATCTAAAACGTGACTTCACAATGTCTTCTGTGGTTGAAAAAACTCTGTTCCAGAATTGTGCCATTAATTCAAAACACGGGAGCCACAGGGTGCTAGAAAGAAACAACCAGAAAACGCCGTGGCCTCAGATGAACAGAAGCCACTGGGTGGAAACTGAGGCCCATCCACACACACCGTGGGAACTCTGAGCGGCTTTGACCTCCTGACCCTGCCATGGGCATCCAGGCCCAGGCGCCTTTGGCTTGCCCTAGGAGGAGCCAGGAGCAGTTGCGGGAGATGCTGCTTGGAGGGTGTGTGCTTCTGGCAGGGAGAGTGAGGCCCATGTGCCCGAGGAGTGCCTGCGTGTTTGGGCTGCTGTGCACCCTGGCAGGCAGAAGAGAGAGGTAGCCTGGCAAGCTGACAACATCAGACGTTCTCAGAGGAAACCGAAGTTACTTCCCCTGGATTGCATTATCTTTTATTTCACTGCAGATCAATCTTGTTAGAGGAGGTGACAGCGCGGCAGCTACTGTGGAGCCTTTCTTCCCTGTGTCCATGGTGTGTGCATGTGGGGACGTGTTTCTGCCCTGCTCCTGTGCCATTTTATAGCTTGTTTCATTTCTTTCATCTGTAAAGGCCACTTGCTGTGGCGGTTAGACAACAGGACACGAGGACCGTCAAGGACCAGTGGGCCCGCAGCTGGGCCTTCTGTGTATATGAGTTCCAGGGCCGTGGGGCCACGTTTTCAAGGAGCCTTAATTGACACACGTTCTCTGTTGTCCACAGAGCTCATGCACCATTGGATGGCTCTCAGAAATGCCGACGAGCCATAGAGCTGCTCTTCACAACATCAAATGCAGTTGAAAACGCTGTATCTGCACACGTGTTTTGAATCTCGAGTTTTAGAGCACTTTTGTATCAATCGTTTAATAATGAAGTCAGGACCACACACACACACACACACACACACACACACACACACGCCTCATTTGAAGTTACTGAAGCACCTTTTGAATACTCATCCATGGGCTCAACCTTGATTCTGAAATCGAACAGAAACCGAGTGAGTGGCTTGGAAATCAGAGCGATGCCACTCAGCAGGGTGTTTGAAAGTGTAAGTGGGCACAGTATAAAGACTTCACCATTGAGTTAATTCTGTGCTCCGTGCTGTGAACTGAAGTCCCTGATAGACTCTGAGCCCGAAGAGGCATAGCCTTTCCTTCTGCACAGCTCTCGCCTGGAGCTGGGGTCTTGCTATTAAAGAGATTTTTCTTTCAGCTCAAGTAATACCTCTCAGACACAGTGCACTGGCTTATTTTGCAACCGGTAAATATGTGCCAGGCACTTTCTAGACCTTGAGGATGAGGGGATGGACAGGACAGCAAGGGCTCTGTGCTGCTCATGGAAATTACTGTCTAGCTTGGGGGACCCTGGTGCCAAGCATGCCACAAAACAAACAAGGTGAATTCTGAGGGATACAAGCAGTGAAGGCAATGTCACAGGATGATGTGTTCATGGCTAGGAGGGCCATTTTAATGGGATGGTGAGAGAATGCCAAGAAGGACCAGCTATTGGAGGATGTAGAGGAACCCCACTAGGCAGGAACACCCCAATATTCCAGAATCAGAAGGAGGGAGGGAGAGCATTGTGTGAAGTGAGGAAATGAGAAGAGGGTAGGAGTGTACACTGGAGATTGGAGGAAAGAAGTCAGCAGTGGGTTTTAAGCAAAAGAGTGCTGTGGTTGATTTATATGAAATATTTATATGAAATATTGCCACACTGGCTGCTACAAAAATGCATAAAAAGTGTGTGAGAAGTTAAAATCAGGACCAGGGCTGAGTCCTGAGTGGGCTCAGGCCCAGCTGATATGGGGACCTGCCCACAGGCCCTAAGCACTCCCCTCCAAGGGTCTCTGCAGCCCCATTCCTGGCCAGCTTGCCTCCACTAAGTGTCCCACTTTCTTCTCACTTTACCTGTGGGGAGGATTGTGCCCAGAACTTACACCTCCTTTCCTTAAAGGCGGCAAGCTGTGCACATCAAGGGCATCATTAAAATACCCCTATACTTATCTTTAGATTTTAAAGAGCTACTTTTCTCCAACATACATATATATGTGTATCATACATTATTATATATTAATATATACATTACATGCTCAGGAGACCTCAGTTTGGCTCCCAGCAAGGTTGCCTTTTGGGGGGCTAATGGGCCAGTTGCTTTGCCCTGTAGCTTCAGTTTTCCTATCTGTAAAATGAGAGAATTGGGGAGATTTGTGACCCAACTTGGCTTCCTGCTAATGCTTTATCTTGATAAGTTGTAATTGTATTTGAGTTTAAATAGAGTCCAGAAATATCCCATACTACAGGTTATGACTGTTCTCTAAAGAACTTGGGTGAAAGCAGAGGCTTCCCTAGTGGCTGGGAATTATGGTTAAAAGATTATGGTTTTGGAAGTCTAACCTACTCATAAGCCCATTTTGAAGCATCAACTCTGGAATTCACAATGGATGGCATTGCTTTTACTAATTTGAAGAGAACAATAAATCATAGTTTGGTTTCTGGCAGCCTGGCCAAGCCTAGTAATCGTTGGGGTGGACTTGTGGAAACAGGGACCACTGCCATTTATAATATATTTGACTTGAGCTCTTTAGCATATTTCAAACTCTTGGTCAAACTGCTGAGGCTGGATCTCAGGTTTTTCCCAACCACTTCAGAAAATCCCATCTATTATAAAGCTCTGACCCTTTAGCCATGAATTATGGTTCCCTTGGTAATGTTATACAATATGAAATATTGTTTTCTTTATGAGTATGGGATTTGGGTGAATAAATTAAATCTATTGTTACCATTTCCAGCTAAAAATTCCAAGTTGTCGTGAGTCGTTAACGAGTAAATGAGAAAAATGCGTTAACATTTTTATGATGGAGAGTGATTGGTTCCCTGATCACACTTCCCATATGCTAATATTGATTACGTATGTATAT